CCATTGGTGTGGTTGGATGTGGGGTGGCGACGACACTGGTCGACTCGCGACTCTTGCTTTCTTGCTTTCTTAGCAGGTCTGCGGTCATGTTCTTCACCATCATCATCAGATAGTGACCAATTGTTGACGTCTTGGCCAGCATCTTTGTACCCGTCGTACACAATGCTCAGCAGTTCGGTCGCCTTTGCAACATTGAGAGGCTGATCCTTGGCAGAGGCAGCGTAAGCCACCTTCACAGCCATCTGCAGCTCTGGAGTGAGTGACCGGACAAAGATTTGACCCCAAGTCTTGCTGTCCTCCTCCTCGGCATCGTGCATGAGCTTGTTGTACTTGTCAGTGTACTTGATCAAGTTCTCTCTTGGTCTAAGTTTCATTGCATGCAACTGGTCTGAGATGGCAACTGCTTGCGAAGCACCACCATATTTCAGGTTGAATGCTTTCTTGGCTTGCGACCAAGACAGACGTTTGTCCGCCAAGTGACGTTGGAACCAAGACAATTGCTCGGTCGACAATGTTGGCAGCATGGTGGTTTCCCAGCAATCTTCTGGCGAAGCATTGTGGTGGCGAACCACGACCTCAAACTTGGTCAAAAAGTCGTTGACAGATGAAAAAACCTCTTTGGTCTTGTCTCTGACACTGTTTTTGATTTGGAAAACGGGCAGATCCTTCAAAGGAATCTTGGGTCCATTCTCCTGCTTGACACACTTCACAATGGCACCGGCGTCTTTATACACACGGGCTCGCTCAGTGGCAGCAGCAACAAGGCGTTGATGGTATGCCTTCTGCTCAGCGGGTGCTTGCGCATCCTCGAGGCGAAGTGCTTCCAACAAAAGTTGCTCTAATTGGGCCTTATAGACCTCAAAAAGTCTCGAAGCAATTACCTGCGGGTCAGCATGCTTGGACTCCAAGCTCGATAACATGGCGGTGGTGCTACCGTCTGCTACAGGCTGGGCATAGATGTCCTTCTCGACACTGGAGATGCCTGGGGAACGGGACGACTCGCCAACAACTTCCTCCATGGTAAGGTCTTCAGTGGCTTGAGCCTTCTTGAAATCGAAAGTGGCTTGGCTGTTCATAGTGGTAGGATAGATTGGTAGTCAAAATTCGAAGAAAAAAATGTGGTGTTCAACAATAGAAAGGGACTAGAAGTCTTCGAGATTGCTGTTTAATTCAAAAAGAATGAATCCTCTATCCTTCACTTGTTTTCTACAGCTATTTATACACGACCAGGGTCTGTGACGATGAAAAGAAAAACCAGATAAATGATAGATCCGCTCAGCAACCTGACCAATACTTCTTGACGCTGGTTTCTAATCGAAACCGCTGTAAGTCAGCCACGACAATATGTATTTAAATATAAAATTTTTGAACTTATTACTGTAAAAAATAATATAATTTATTAATAATCTATAAATCTCTTGTTTTTCTTTAACTATGAGTTATATTTTCTAGGCTGCTTGTGAAGAAACTTTATCTGTGCTGAAGGAACTCAAGAAAGAACATAAAACCATCTTGCGATCAAAGGACAAGGAATGAAAAAACCTTTGCAGAATCGTAGATCTAGTCATTATTCGCCTGAATGAAGGAAAACATGCCAGTATTGTAGCAGAACATGGCCCAACGAGTGTACCCAGCAGCCCAATATACAAGTAACTCCCATCAATGATTACTCTATCCCACAGCTTGATTCCTAAATTCTATGACAATAACAAACATATTGATCTATATTATTATCGTGACCTACTTGTTGAGTATATTAGGGGACATCTCCAGGAAATGCAACAAGCATTCTGTATTTTGAGATCCCTTCTTCAAGAGCGTGCTTAAAATGCATGACCTGAATTCCCTTGCTCAATCCTAGGTGAGGTTGTTTAATGCTGATTGGATAGAGGAAAGGCTATAGTTATGATGATTTTAATGCGATTTAGTAACCCTAGCTGGTTTATTAGCTAAGATATATCAGGATAGCCAAATTAATTTTTATTTAAATAATTCATGTACATATATCTTGGCATGCATAGGACACTGTTCATGAGGACACTTGTAGACAAGTGTTTAGAATAACTACCGTTATTCTAGGGTCTCGACTACCGTCTCGATGACCAGCTACGTCTTCAAAAAAATCAAAGATTTTTTCTCAGACCACCCCTTCACATAATGATCATTATCTTTTATTTAAAAATGAAATTTAAAAATTAAATTATATTTTAAAAATAAAAAATGTTATAATCAAAAACTTATTAAACAATCTTCATACATTTAAATTTTCAAAATAAATAAAAATTGAATTTTTATTTATTATATAAAATAATACCTCAAGATATCAAGCGAATTTTATCTGTTATATATACAACACTTTCACAACATTCAACACAACATGGATCAGATTAACTTACTAACATTTCTTGCCATAATGGCTGAGTTCGTTCCTATTTTAGGAATAACTTTGATGCTCCTGATTAAAAGAGCTAAATATCTTGCTGAACATCACAAACATATTAATGATGTTAACATTATCATTGACCAACTAAAGGATGAACTAATAAAAAACTTGAAAAATACAAAAATTGACAAAAAAACAAAGGACCAAAGCCGTTCTAAGATCATGGGTAGAATTAGGGCATATGTGAGATTCCTCAAATCCTCAAATCCTCAATTTTCCGATGCAATGTTAGAGGGTAACACCTCTGGTGCAGATTCCTCACAGGGCGTCAAAGAATTCCGATTCCAAAACACTAAAGGGCTGTTCACATATATTTGTAAGGACTTCCATTTAACAAAAGAACAAATCATGGAATGGTTTATAAAACATGAACGTATTGGTTATCGAATTGAAAAGGCAATTGCATGTGATGAAATTGCACCAGAAACCAATGAGAAACATGTACACATATGGATACAAATGGATGAGCGATTCGACACAAAAACAGCACGTAAATTCTTTACTATTGATGGTGTTACTCCAAATATCAAACCAGGTGGTAATCCACAAAAGTCTATTAGCTATTGTATGAAAGGAAAAGATTATATTTGTTATAATATGGATCCAAATTACGAAGTTAAGATCAGAGAAATGCACCAACAGTTACTTGGATATCAATTAATTACTAAGCAGCTTAATATGCGGAAAGCTACCAAAATATATCCAGAATTGCTATGGAAATATGATACTGTAAAATCAAATTTAAATTCTTACTTTCATGATGCCGATATGGAAAATAACCCTGGAAATAAATTACATATGTGGTCTATGTCTGGGATTGAAACAATGTTTGGTGGTAAAAATAAGATACCACAATACTGGATTGTAGGTCCATCAAATGTAGGTAAGACATATAACATTGATGTATTAGAACAAGGTGGCCATCGAGCATATCTAATGAATAAAGAAAATGATTGGTCAGATTATAAGGATGATGATTATGATTTTATGTATAATGAAGAAACAGGTTCTGATTTCAAATTAACATTTTTAAACCAAATGTTAGAAGGAACACGGTTAAAACTTAATGGCAAATTCACAAAGTCAATAACTAAAAAGAAAAATATGCCAATAATACTGAATAGTAACTATATGCCGCACATGTTATACAAAAATAAATCAGTATATGAGTTAGAACCAACGCTCAATCGTTTATATATTATCTATGTTGATAAGAACCGTAAAGGTTATATAATATGGAATCCATACACAATGAAGGTGAAGGATTATGAAAATAAATTCATGTATTATGAAAACATGTATATGTATGAAGACTTATACAAAGATGAATTCGAAAACGAATACCAAGATCAGCATACATTTATCCGTTATGCACATAATAGTGGTCAGGATGGTATCAAAAAATATACACCGATGGATAAAACAGTAGAGGAACTGCAAGAATTAGCTGATACAGAAGAATATATGAAGGAACAAGAAAAAAAACATAATAGTAATAATACACAGAACAATAAACAGCATAAAACACCTCAACAAAATAATAGAGGATGGTCAACTGTAAAGGCACCCCTACCAGAAGATTGTAGACATTGGGAGGATGTATTAAATGATATTAAATGTGATGAAGTTATAACTGATAACATCGATTGGGAAAACCTACCACAAGATACAGAGAAACATAAATATATAGATGTCAGTACATCCGAATCAGAGCAAAGCAGTGACTGTAATATACCTAATACTATACCAAAACGTAAAAAGAAAAAAAGACAAAATAAAAATAAATGGAGAAACAAGAAGGTAGTAGAAGAAATAAAACCAAAAGAATATTTTAAAAAGCATAAGGATATAAAACAGGCTATAATAGATGATATAGATATAACAAAAGAAACTGACGTCAAAAATAAATCAACAGGTACTAATATAAGTACAAGTATAACTAATGAATGCATAAAAAATAAATATAATTGGGCAAGTAAACGAGAGGTTGATGCAATATGAGATTTTTTAATAAACAAAGAAATAAGAAATTAATTTAGAGCTGAATACCATGTGTGGCCATATATTCATGTAGCATTTCCCGGGAATTAAACTTATCAACTGTTAACCAGCTATTATCCTTTACACTATATCCAACCCACTTAACCTCAAATATGTACTTATTATCAGTATACACATGTCCTACAATCTTCTCAATTTCATATGAATTACCATGTTCTCTATTTCTCTGTTCTCTTTGATTTTCTCTCTTGCATTTAGATGTATTATTTTCAGTTTCGTCCTCACTATCTATAGCCATATCTATTGATTGATTAATGTTAAGCTGTAGAAATTTCTGCTGAATGTCAACCATTTCGTTATATTCAATATTTACTTTTTGCTCATTTGAAAATACTAAGTCAAGTTTGTTTTTCTTACTTGGGAATTCAAAGTCTTTTCCATACACTCCCGTACACCTAGAGGAGACTCCATTGCTCTTTTCGCTGTCTGAAAACATTTGACCAGCTCAAGCTAGAAGATCCATTTTTGTTGTATTTACTATTGCACTATCGTCGTCTTAGCCGCCCAAGTTAGCATCAGCGCCTGATGGGGTCTCCATGGTAGCTGATGTTTCACTATCATCGTCCAAGCTAAGCGATGAACCTTTGACAATTTCTTCAAATGCATTGTCACCTGTGGGAACATCTTTGACTGACTTCTGGAACACGGCCTTAGCAGTACGATAGACCACTGGGTTGTTGTTAGCTGCTTTCCTGAGAGCCATTGCGCGGGATAGGTCCGCCTCTGCTAGGTAGGTTTCAAGGAAAGCTTGCCCAATCGGTGCAAATCGTGTTGCCTCGTCCTTGGCATTAGCCAGTTCGGTAAGCTCTTCATCCGAAGGCTTCGCGACGTTGTAAGCAAAATATGATTTGTGGTATTTCGTAGGAGTCGCCCTGACCTTGGCATTCACAGTTTTGATTAAAGCATAATTAATCTTGAGTTGTTTCAAGTAGGCCAAACCGCGTCCAGAAGCTTCAATTGCCTCGAGAATAGCTGCTGTAGTAGTTACCAATGCTGTACCAGATGGAGCTGATGTGAGACGGGTCTTGACAGCATCCGGGATGTTCAAGGATAACTCTTGCGCCTTAACTACCTGATAGCTTCTAGCCGGTGAGATCCAGTGCAGGGCTGCATGGTACAGTATATGTGCAGGTAGAAATTTCTCGATCTCTGGCACCAATGAAGCCCTGAACACTTGAGAGTACTTTGCAGTAAAGGTGGCAGCGTCAGAGGTCAGGTAATGGTGGCCCATCGTGCGGAACACATACTCAGCAGCCAATGGCACTACAAATGAAGCCAAACGAGCAGTTGCTATCCAGTCCTGGGCTTCAGCCAAATCTTGTAAGAATGTCTTAATCGAATCTGCTGGTGGGTCAACATAGGCAACCTCCTTCTGAGCTGCTAACCATCCATTCTCAACATTCCAAATTTAACTGCGTTTTCCGCCTCAGGCGACCTCTCTTTGTTAAGCACGTACACGTCAGCGAGGTCTTTCAACTATAGATGTTGCGGCATATGTACCAACATCACCAGCAGCTACAATCTGGTAGTTCCAGCCAGTCGGTAATGCAAGCCATTTTGTTCTATCCATCCTGCCAGATGAGGCTGCCTCGGGCGAGTACGCATCCTGACCATTGATTTCCCACAATGATTTCAACAATGCTTTTTGGCTATCATCAAGTTCACCAACACCTTCGAGAAAGTCGTTGAACGCCTTATCACTTGCTGATTTACCCTTTGAAGCCTTATCGCCAGCAGCCTCGTCTTTATTCACAAGATGGGCTGAGGTTGAGGATGTTGCTTCCTGAGTGTCTGAGCCAGTATCCTCGGCCTTTTCTACAGGGTGATCTCCAAATACGAGTTTTTTTGTTGGGGTTTGGAAAAAAGAGTTCTAATACGTCCGAGACCAAGAGAAGACTCGTTAGAAATTTTATTCTTGATGATCGTGCGACCAAGAGAAGTCGTGTGCATATCGTCTTGATATAGTCTCTGCTCAGAACGTCGAGCACGGTTTTACGAAACCGCTTCCGCTACCAGATGTAACAGTGTCGGCCCAGATACTTACAATCGGGAACGTGAATGGGTAGACAGTGTGGATCAATGAATAAGGTGAGACTCGGATATATCAAAGGATAAAACGATAGGGATCCATATAACTCAGGATCCCGTCTTTATATATACGTCGAGTAATAGGGGGCTAGCTATCGTCTAAGTATTGATCTACATCATAACTTCTATCTAGAATATCCACGCCTATTACTCCATATTCAACCATGCAGTTGACCGCAAGTCATCCTATCGTCTGAACCATGTGTTGTCGATCGTCAACCATGCAGGTTGGATATCGTCGTAATAGTATGCACCGTTACAGATGGTTATACCGGTCATAGCAATTTTATTATCTATATTACAGCTAGTAGATTATAATTGGTTAGACAACTAATAGTAGGACGCCAATTTTAAAAATCCAGAGGACCAGTCGAGGTTACAATGACTATGCTCTGGTTTATTGGTACTAATTAGATGAATAGCCACAATAAGTTGGTGTAACTACAATAATTTTTATAAAATTTAATTATGTATGTATGTCTTGGCATGCATATATTTAAAAATTTTGAAAAAATAAAAATTGAATTTTTTTTCTTAGGTAAAAAATAACACCTCATAATATTAAACATGAACAACACAATCACATTCAACAATGACAAAATTGTCCTTGATACCAATAAATTAAGTATATTTTTAAATAATAATAATATAAACATCAAAGAATTTGCTGAAAAAACGATTTATGAAAAATATGATATAAATTATAATATTAGAAAGAATAAATTATTAATAAAATGTAAAGCATCAAAAAAACAAAAAGAGTCATCTAAAAATAATTTAAGTAAAGCGAATAATGAAAGAGATATTATTTCTGTTAAAAAAAGTAAAGAGAAAATATTAAAGGAGAATGTAAAACTAAAGGAAAAATTACATAAATATGAGAAATACTATGAAAATCCCGATACATTACCTCCAAAAGAAATAGTTGCTGAAGATTTAAATTCTCAGCAAATTGAAATTCCTCATATTTCAAATATACAAATAAAAGAAACATACGCTGAAAATTTAAATTCTCAGCAATCCTCAAATCCTCGTATTTCCGATGCAATGTTAGATGACACCTCTAGTGCAGATTCCTCACAGGGTGATTCAGATAACGATGAATATGAATCCGGTGGGGGTGAATATATGTGTATGATTGCATATAAGCCCTGTATGGATAAATTAAATGATACTTATGATTGTAGTTTTATTGATGAACTTATTTTAAAACTTGAAAAGGAAAAATATAAGTATAAAAGGTTTTTCAATTTATACTTTAGATATTATATTGATTTAATAAAAGCAAAAGAAACAAATAGGGATGATATTATGCAAATGTGTCAAGAGCAAATGCAGAAGTTAATTATTGAATATAGTCAGATATATACACATGAATTTGAAAGTGAAGATGAATATAGTGATGATGAATATAGTGATGATTCTGATTAAACTTGTATTGGCCATTAATGGCTATACCGTTTAGGACAGGCTTATTTTCTATAACAAAATCAATAAACAACTAACAGCTAGACAAGTAATAACAGGACACCAATATTTTTTATTTTCTTGATTGTTGAGGAATTGTTTCCATTCTTCCCAAATGCCGACCTTTTGATCATCACCACTGTCATCATCATCGTCACCATCATAGTCTTGTTCACCGGATTGATTGTCATCGATTATCGTGATTTCCTTCCTTTTGCTTGTCCTAACATTGTGATCGGAATTATCTTCGTACATGCTTTCAACTTGTCGTTTTCTATCATTTTCCTTTTCTTCTTCATTAACGACTTGCTCCGCCATAACGCTTTTCAGCCTGGTCTACAAGATCGTTAGGTACAGTGGTGAGTTCCATGTATAACGTACTGAAAGCATACGTAAAAATGTAGTATTCATATTACCTTTTGAACTCCATACTTCAGCGACTCTTGAGATACTTGACTAGTATGGCTGACAAAAAATGTATTAAATGCTTCTTTAGCCCTAGAATTCTGTGAAGACGACTGGTTACTGCCAATAATAGTCATAGCTGAAAAAATGAATTTAACTGACCTGCTTGAAAGATAACATAGCACTTGACATTGTCTCAGCAATGGTGCCTACTACCACGTGGTTTTTTACTATTGTCGATTCATTAATGAGTCAAATGGATGCGTTACGCCTGGAAACTGTAGGATCCAGGGCAACCAGTTTCGATAGATAATTTGTGATAGTCCAACTGCATGGATCGGTGGCCCAAAAATCTATCAATTAGGGAAAAAAGTAAATGTACACAATCAAGCACTCAAGAAGATATAAGAGTTTTACCTTTCACATAAAGTTTATTTTTTACTTTGTAGTCAAAAGAGCTTTGAAAATATTCTTTTGTCATTTCGCAATGAATGTAATCGATAGTAAAAAATAAAAAAGTGGAAAGGTAGGAATGCCCTAGCTGTTTAATGCTGATTGGATGGAAATATCTTTCAACCTCCCTAAAAAGCTGGGGAGGTTTCTTTTTTTTTTATTGCAAAATCGTTCTTTTCCCAAAAGATTAGTCATATTATTGGTTCTATAATCTTGTAAGAAAAGCATGATGACAAGTCTACATATGAACCCTGCCCTTCGCCAGAGAAATATCCTAGCCTTGATAGCATTTGCTATAGCAATTGCGCTCCAGCTGGGAGTGGAAAGTGACCTTCTTTCTCTTGTCAAATGTATGCTTTGGTAAACACGCAAACTATTTCGTGGTTTTCATTTCAATCATAGACCTTGTGATATTCGTATGAATGCAAAAATGGTGAGATGTGTCTTGATGCCGCAATCTCCAAGCTACGGCACTGCGACATCCAGTCTTGGATATAGAGAGGTCAAAATTACAGGCCCCACCATCGATAACCACGCGCTATGTCACGATCTTTTGCGTTTGGCAATGCTAACAAAAGATACCATTGATACCAATTTATTGGAAACCTTTCTGACCTTCCAGATGCATGGTTTTCATATCACCTTCTTTCTGATGCGCCTCCGCCACGATGGAATCTACAGTGCCCGCTCGATAATTCGATACTCGATAACCCGATATTTTCGATAATTCGATCACTTTCTCAAATGACCAGGCTGGTAAGCAGTAAAATATCGACAAATCGATAATTCGATCATCGATCGCTTGGCTGTGACATATCGACAAGTATAAACCAATAGAAATGCTTAGTGACGCGGAATTCAACCAGCGATCAGTGTCGGATCATACATCAGAGTCTAGAGTTAACATGTATTCCCAATGAATATTCCTTTTATTAACGGAGTCCTAATTTCATAACTCGATATTTCGATAATTCGATCACTTATGGCCGTGACCAAAGTGATCGAATTATCGAGCGGGCACTGTATATGATGCAACAACTTGCACAGCTTACATTTCCTCTATCTTTGAAAGAACTAACAACATTCGTGTCCTTGAAAAATATGCGCACATTGATGATCCTCTCTGATATCTTTTAGCACTTGTGCCGACCTGTCCGTGACACCCACTCAGGCAAGATAAACGGGGTCCTACTCATCCCTCCATTTGCTCTTTGATTGATTCAACCCAAAATCACCACCGCTTGTGCGCCCTACGCTTTGATTATATGGATTCCTTCGTATACATTCCCACACGCCAAGAACCTGATGCTGTCAGCAATTCATTTCGTGTCAATGATGTGTCTGAGCTTTCAAGAGGCAACAAGTGAATCACCATGCTACGTGCGACCTGAAATAAAATAAAATAATATAATATAATATAATAATAATATATATATATATATTATGCCAAAATATAAAAACGGAATGTTTTAGACTATGGTAACACTCTAAAAGACCTAGCGATCAGAATTTCTAGTGTTTTGGATTTGATTGCAAAGAGTCATATATTTTGAGCATCAATTCGTAGATCAAGGACTTAGAAAGCCCAGTTTTGAATGACACTCGAGCTTAAACCAGGCGATACTTCAAATTTGAAAATGGCTCACAAAAGACACTGTCTAAAGTTCATGTTAGTTAATGAAATAAACTTTTTTTTAAACATACACTCCAGTTGTTTATATTTTCAAACACAAAACATTGCATGTTACTTACCTGAATTCTTTTGGAGTTGAAGTCAATGGAGATTATTATATGAATTCTTTATATCAACATCTATCCCAGCACTTGTCAGAATGCGAAACGAAGCCTCTGAAATGACTTTTCTCTACTCTGTTACAGGCTTCCGTGATTCTTTTTGACAAAGTATCTTCCTGTAAAAACCGATGACGTTTAACTTTACTCTTTGCGACTGCCCAGAATTGTTCTATTGGGTTGAGCTCAGGAGAGTAAGTGGGAAGATACACACATTTATATCCTCGATACTCAATATACTTCCTTATGTTTTCATGCGTATGAATGGGTGCATTATCCATGACTATATAATGGCCTTTCATATGCAGATACTTGTCCATTTCATCGAGAGTCATTTTTAAGAAACTGATATAGTGGCCTGTTACTGTACCTGAGCTTATGTACCCTTCAGCCTTTCTCTTCTTCGTAGGTCTCGGTTTTTTTACACCGACTGTAATCAAACCTGCAGCAGAGATAGCACCCAATATAGACGTTGTGTTTGCTCTCGTTGTAGGTCGGGTAACAATAGCACGAGTACCTTTTGTAGACCAAGCCCTTTGGCGTTTCAATATTTATATCAAAAGCAGACTCGTCTAGAAACACGCAATTCGTCAGAAAGTCCATGTCTGTCTTTTCCCATTTACAAACCCAATTGTACCTCTCCTCAATCTTTGCTGGACTGTTTCTCTCAATAGAATGAAAGTCTGCTTTTTCAACGAAAGGTTGCACTCACGTCTCATAAAATTATTAACAGTGCTGCGTGATACTTTAAGATCATGAAATCGCTCCAATAAATGCTCGGTCACTTCAACAACAGTAGCAGAGGGATTAGTATCAATGAAGTTGATAACAGTCGTTTTATGCTCTTCAGTTAAGATGCACTTACGGCCTACTTTTTTTCAATTATCAAAAATGCTATCAGGATCTCTCTCGTATTGTTGAGCCCATCTGTATGCCGTTCGAACATGAATGCCCAACTGCTTTGCTGCAGCTGCTGCAGTCATACACTTTTCAATCTTCAGATCAAATAACCTAGCTTTATCCTGGACTGTATAACGCACATACTCTCGTTTTGGTTTTGCCTCCTTCATATGAACATCGTCATCTTTTGGCTTTTCTAACAACATTGGAGATGTCAGAGAAGATTCACTGGGGACTACTTTTCCCAAGTACTCTGTATGAGT